CTGTTTCTCCTACCCCACTCTCCTTCCAAGGAGCCTATGCAACCTGGTGAGGTCCCGATTTCAGAGTATGAAGGACATCCGCCAAGAGTTAACCTTGTATCTTTTGCACAGAGCTTTTAGATGATTGCCTGGTTGTAGAGTTTAATTTGGAAAGCAAATGGCAAAGACCAAGAATCTGTAATGATGCTGATGCTGTAAACATAATCAGATTTCAGTGCTGAATATGGACTCTTTCAGCAATAATGATTAAATGTTCCATGCACAGCAAGAGCTCCCTTAAGCACTATTAATATTACTGTGACTAATCATTTAAAGATTAATAATCACCACATTTAGGTCATTTTTCCCCCCAAAGCACCAGGAGGCTCAGAGACTCCAATAGCTTTAATATCTCAAGAGGCTCCACATGATTATTGGTGGGACACTGCTTTGTTCAGGCCCTAAGGATCTAGGAGTTTGTAAGTGAATCAACTTGGTACTTAATTATCCTCTGAGAAAATGAATAATATATGCTTCCCTGAGATCTCTCCCTTTGCCTCATCTGCTTCTCAGTCTCTCTCCACTGTTAGAGTGACACTAGAGGGGTTGGGAGGCAGAGGCAGGGGAGGGTTCCCCTGTTTTGGCTTCCCTTTGAGAAACTGGAGGGGGACAGGTTGTGGTGGTGATCCAGCCGCAGCAGTGCTCAGCTCACTGAGTGCCAGGGTTGCTTCACTTGATGTGATTGTCCAGTGGATGCCTTAGATCTATTTGCCTTGTTTCCACTCTGTAGGTGTCTGGGGTGGGGCAGGGGGACTATTCTTCCAGAGGGAGAGGTCTCTGCAGGGCCGGTGAGTGAGGCTCTGGGGCTGGCTGGCTGCCCTGGGGAACAGAGAGGCAAGAGACTTACTGGAACTCTCAGCTCTGAGGAGGTGGGAGGCTTAGCTGGGATATTTTAAGCATTATTATAGCCAGCTGGTGATCTTCATTCACAGCGATAGCAACTACTTAGAGGTGAGCCATGACCCAAGGTCATCAGAGTCTGGGAAAAACAGTGAGGGCCAGGATTTGGCAGATGAACTTCCAGGCCATGGAACTAACTGTTGAGCAGACTAGTGGGCGGTACAGGATCCACCCTCTTTCCTCAGGCCTGCTTTACAGATCTGATCAATTCAGGGTTCTCCGAGAACATTTTGGATATTGCCCCCTTCTATTGTACACAGATGACTTTTAGTTACAAGTGACAGAGTCCACCTTGAACTAGCCTTGGGATGACTGTGAGTCCAAGAAGGAACTGGGCCCGTCTGACTCAGGGGGTTAGGTTGCTTTATCAGGGTTCTGCCCCTCTCTCCATCTCCTTTGGATTTCACTCTCAGGCAGAGTTTCTTCAGGGCAGATGGGCTTCTAGAGCTCCAGCTTAGATGTTTTAAACCCAAATCTCAGAAGTAAAATGATTCTGTCCCCTTTATTTTCTGAAAAATGCCTCTACTAGTCTCTGCCTCATATCTCTTTAGAGCTAGGAGTTCCCTCCATTGGTCAGCCTGGCTTGGGCCACTCAGGTAGAGGGACAGGTGGGGCCTTTGCTTGGTACCGAACCATCCACAGGACTGTCACGGAAGAAGAGATGCAGGACAAAGCAAAGTGTCATAGAAACAGAGGCCCACTTGGCTTCTTTGTACTGCCTCTCCAAATTATTTAGGTCGGTAAGCTTTGGGTCAGTCAGTGCTAGGTCTGAATATTGACCCACCACTTACTAAACATGTTTCCTCAGGCACGCTGCTGCTTAAGCTCACTGAACCTCAGCTTCCTTCTGTGGTTAGTGGGAACAGTAATGGTGCCTATATCAAAGGGTCAGTGGAAAACTGCAGAGAAAATGAAGAACTCAACACTGCCTAGCACATAACAAAGGCTCTGTACATATTGGCCATTATTATAGGCCACTATTGCAATCTGGCACTTTAGAAATGACCAACAAAGACAGAGTGGACTTATTTGTTGGTTTTCTCATCTGTTTTTGAACCATAAGGAAGTCGCTGCACACGTTCCAAAGGATTAATCTTACCCACAAAAGTGGGAATATCTGCTTATGCTTTCTTGAACTGTCAGAACCAACTCTAGAAAGCTAAGACCATTGGTTCCTCTGCTCAGTTGTGTACGAGGAAAGAGACCAAAGAAAGAGGAAAGCTAGGCTCTAGGATCATGCCTGTCCTGGTACCACTGACCCTGACCTCCACTGGGGACTCCCTCTTTAACCCTGGCTCCCCACGGGCTGCCGTTCCTCTCTGCCCTCCTCCCCGTGGTGGTCCCAGCAGAGATGTCGTCATCAGAATTTTTCCTTTCCATCCTTTTCTGTGGCAGTTCTAGAGGTTCATCTTATGTCAAGAATGTCTCTCTCCTCCTTGGGGTAGGACTCTCCGACCCTTTCTCATATCCTGTGCACAGAGTGTAGGGGAGGCACAGCTTTGCTTTAGCAATCATGGAAGACTTTCTGATGATCTCCTGTCTGTGACCATTGTTCTGTAGTGTGGTGACCAGGAGGGCAGGCCCTGGAGCCAACCTGCCTGGGCTCAGATTCCAACTCTGCTGCTTATTCTGTGAACCTGGGTCAGTTTTTTAACCTCTAGATGACCTCATAGAGTCATTAGGGAGATTAGATGAGTTAATATATGTGAAGCACTTAATTGGTGGGGCACATAATAAAAATGTTACCATTACTGTTTCTATGATCTTAAACTCTTAGAATTAAAATCATTGGTTCCCCTTGAGAGAGAGGCGGGAGGAGGCAGAGATCAATCAATCAAGAACGATGGACTGAACCACCCTGTGGGAGGTATTAGACCACCATGGGGAGACTGAAAGAGAAAGAGAAACAGAGTTGTTTTCTGCAAGATGCAGTTAGGTATATGAGTCAAATAGCCATCTAAAGTGACACTATGAAAGATGTCTTAAGACAGTGGGATGAATTACCAGTGAGTGGCTGGAGGTAAGAGCCAAGAGGAGGAATCTCTGTTGCAGTGGGGGTTGTGGGTTGGACCAGGTTTTGAAGAGAAGAAAAAACTTGGATAGATGGGAAGGGCTTTCCCCCTGGATAGTAAACACGGACGTGGTAAGTAGGTTTGGCTGTGATGAACATTCCAAGAGTTTATGTAGAAGAATAGCAGAAGGAGAGCCAGAGCTTCACACAGTGTTGGAAATGGAAGAAGAGTTTGGACATAACATTTTATTCAACAGGGAGCCTTTGGACAAGGAAGTGACCCGCTGACAGCAGCATTCAAGGAACTGTACCCCACCGGGAGTGAGCAAGGTGAAGTTTAGTAGGAAAATTGCAGAGGAAGGGACCAGTTCACTCAGCACATACTCATAGAAACCCTACTATGCGCCAGAGACTCACTGCTTCCGAGATCTGGACAGCCAGGCCCCTTCTTTCAGGGAACTTAAAATTTAGTGAGTTCCAGCTGATGCACTCAAAGAATACCGGTGGTGCTGAAATGATTAGGTCTGAAGTTTGTGGGAAACAGGATATTCCTATGGTCTTAGAGTCTCACCACACAGAAGGCAGGCAGATGAATCACTAAAGAGAAATGGGTGCCTTTCTGGATATCTGGCATTTCCATGGTAACCAAGTGACTATGCTGGTGTGACTGAGGCGGGATTTCCTGAGATGCCATTCTTACTGTGAAATAGGAAGGTAAATAGGCAGATGTTCTTTTTTTTTATTAAAGATTTTATTTATTTATTTTTAGAGAGGGAAGGATGGGAGATAGAGAGAGAGAGAGAAACATCAATGTGTGGTTGCTGGGGGTTATGGCCTGCAACCCAGGCATGTACCCTGACTGGGAATCGAACCTGCGACACTTTGGTTCTCAGCCCGCACTCAATCCACTGAGCTATGCCAGCCAGGGCTAGGCAGATATTCTTAACAGAAGAACTTAAACATGACCAAATCATGGGGGAGCCAATCAGACATATCCACAATATGGGACATTCTATAAGACAGCTGATCTGGGTGAACAGAAAATTAAATATTATTAAAAACAAACAAAAGCAGGGGTAGATTGTAGGTTAAAAGAGAATTAAGCAACGATTGGCAAACTACAGAGCCCATGGCCGCCTGCTGCCTGCTTTGTAAATAAAGTCTGACTGGTACACAGCCACCTCCATTCCTTTACATGCTGTGTAAGGCTGTTTTATCCTGCAGTGGCAGCTCTGAGGAGTCGTGACAGGAACTCCATGACCTGCAGCACCTCAGGCATTCACTGACTGGCCCTTTACAGACGCGTTTCTGACCCATGAATTAAAGCAGCCTTATAACCAAACTCAATGCATGAACCTTGGGCAGTTCCTGGATCAGGGCGAAGAAAATGAAAACGTCAGTAAACATAATCTGTGGGCAACTGGAGAAATTTGAATAAGGAGTGCATGTTCAGGACGTTGCTGGCTGCTTGTTAGCTCTCTGAGTCACGGCAATTCTGTTGTGACTGTGTTGCAGTGTCCTTCTTCGGTGTTGAATGCCGAAGCACTACGGGGGGTGTGTCATGATGTCTACAGTCTGCTTGTGAATGGTTCAACCATACATAAATATGTACATAAGTAGAAAGGAAGAAAGAAAGAAAGAAAGAAAGAAAGAAAGAAAGAGAAAGAAACAAAGAAACAAAGAAAGAAAGATCGTAGAGATAAAGCCAATGAGGTGACAAACTGTTAGTCAATCTCGGTGAAGGGCATTCAAGTGTTCATTACACTGTTCTTTGATTATTTCTGTAGATTTAAAGACTTTCAAAATAAAGTTAATTACAGAAAAACTTGAACACAACTGGGGACATGAATTTAGGAACCATTTGAGTAGCCCTTATGTCATATTCCCATGTGCTCTGGCTGGGCTGACTTCTGCCCCTTCTGGGGGGTTCCCCTCAGAGTCAGAGATGCACTGGGGTGTTGGAGGTGAGCTTCCTGTCACTCTGGCAGGTGGCCCAGACAGGGGCTTCTTTTGTAACTTGGGGATTTTGCTTGTTGTCTCTTTTGTGCAGTAATTCCATCAAGCTGGTGAATCTGCTCTCCATATTTATCAGCACATGGCTGACAGCAGCCGGGTTCATCCACTTGGTAAGTGTCCTTGAAGATGCTTTAGCTCTGGCTCTCCTGGAGTGAGCCCCTCTTTGAGTCATTTTAGCACCTGAACTTTTTCTTACTGGTGAGAAACTTAAGCCCAGCTGTAGAACATAGGAAAAGAAAAAGCAACTGCACCATTGTCTGGGTTTCCAACCCTCTACCCTAAACTGGTTCCAAATGGTTAGTAGTGTTCTCACTATTATTCTGCATTTTTCAGCTCTCCAGTAGTGCTCTGACGCTTTGGCACATTTTTATTCTGTGTGCAATACCCCCAATCAGCCACAAGATGGCAATGCTTCCTCAGCAACCACACAAAAATGTCTTGGGGACAAGGTTGGAAGTCTGACCCACATCTCTTCGTAAACAACAAATTCGGATCCCTGGATTTCTTTTTACTTTTCCCCTTCCAAAAAGCCACCTTTGATTCTCTTGCCTGATGACTTCTCAAGTTATTTTGTATCTCAAAAATGTTAATTCATTTAAATTAATCACTCTTTGAAAGGCTTATATTATGAAGTCAAGCTGTCCTCACCTCTTCAAAGCAGACTTTTTTCCTGCTTTTAGGGAACACAGCTGTTGTGAGGAGCCTGTTCGATACAAATACAAACTGTCACACCTGGAAAGAACCTCCTGTAACTCTGAAGCTTTGAGTAAAGGTGCCCTTCCCTGATTGGCTCTCTGTATAAGGGTGGAAGTGTGCATTTAGCCACCCACCATTTGGATTTACATCATTTTCATCCAGTGGAGCTCAACCTGATTAGAAGTCCAGGCTCTCACTCAGTCACTGGACCTGATGGATTCCCCACCCACCTCTTGATGCCGATGGTTTCGTGGCTGAAATGGACCTTAAATAATCACCCTAATTCTGCCAACTGCCTAAATCACAGATACAGTGGGGTTAGTCATTTTCAATAGGCCAGTGACCTCACCTTCCTACTGTGTGAAGTACCTTCTGGTTCACCAGGAAACCTGCATAGAAATGGGACGTTGAGGACAGGTGTCGATGTGTGGAAGAGACCAGCTCGTGGCAACTTTCCGTAGTGGCCGAGTCGGAGGTCTGGGGGCCTGCCCCTCGCATTGGCCTGTGACCGGTCACAGGCATTGGTCATAGATCCAGCCCCATCTCTCCCAGTCTCCTGAGGAAATCTAAAGTACCTCTCTTGCCTGCCTCACTGTTTTGGTGGCAGATCAATTTGATAAAAGAACTGAAAGTGTTTTGTTAAATTTAAAGCAGAGATGGGCAGACTACAGCCCTGGGGCCACAGGTCTCCAAAAGCGACCATGCTTCCTCAATTTTGGTATTGCCTCTGGCTGATCTTGCCTACAAGTGCAGAGCTGAGTTGTCCCTATGGAGATTGGACATTGCATAGCCCTCAAAGTGGAAAACATTTGCTATCTGACTCTCAACAGAAAAAGCTTGCTAGCCTTGGGTCTAAAGTGTTGTGCAAAAGCAAATTGTTCTCATGAGCTCACTTTCTGTGCTCCTGGGGAAATTCCTGCAGTTTGCAGGGCAGAGCCATTGCTGACATTCTGCAAAGTAGGGAGAACAGAGGCAGACTCCAAGAGATGCTATTTGGGATTTGGGCATAAGATCTGGAAGAGCAAGGCCCCTGGCCAAATAATGAAAGGAGGAGGCCCCCTGTGGGAGGGTCTCAAATTTCTCTGGGAGCATGTGAGTTGGGCCCTCTGGGACTGAGCAGGAGCTCACTGAGAAAGGTCAGGCCCGGCTCTCTGGCTCTTTCTTTGATGGGAACGCCGCAAAACATGGCCAGAGCAATGCCCAAAAGTTCAGCTGACTTCAGATCTTTAACAATGAGAAGGAAGGTAGACTAGGGATATCGATTTCTGTTCCTCGCCCTCTTAGCCCCAGTCAGCAAGGAAGGCATGACTGTGTTCCTACCATTCTGCTTCTCTGTTACCTGTTCAGCCATCACTTACAGAAGTTGGCCCAGGGCAGAAAGCACCTTGTGTGGAGGGGCTGCACCTCCAGAATCATCCTGCTGGAGCTTTTGTGTTCCTGGTTTGTCATATATGTACAGTATAACGTTTTCCTTTTTCTCCCCTGCCCCCTTGCTTAGGTGGAGAATTCAGGGGACCCGTGGGAAAATTTCCAAAACAACCAGGCTCTTACATACTGGGAATGTGTGTATTTACTCATGGTTACCATGTCCACGGTTGGCTATGGGGATGTTTATGCAAAAACCACACTTGGACGCCTCTTCATGGTCTTCTTCATCCTCGGGGGACTGGTAAAAACTCTTTATTATGGTGTTGATTTTTATGGTTATTAATATTTTCTGTTATCCATTTCCTTAAAGCTTTGTATTTTGATATTGTGTTTCTGCATTAGAAGCAAGTGGCCACCTTAGTGTTACCATCAGGCTAAGTGAGTCCCAGCATGAGGGTGACTTCTCTGCATATTTCTTTGGTGTATTAAACTTGTTTCCCAGACACCCAGGCATGTTGCCCTTGTCAGGGACAGCCATTTAGCCGGGAGCAAACCTAATTGTCTTAAGAAAGTGATGCTCACTTATTAAGTGAGAGTGTCTGTCCCTTCGTAATGTAATTCAGCATCTGACATTCTGCAAGGACAGCTGCTGTCACCTGACCCTGGTAGATGCTGTCGATACTCTATAGACAGTTTGCGGTTTCAAGAGCTCCTCTGCCCCTTTATGGTCCTCCCCAAACCTCCAACAAACACTGTGGCTGGGGCCTGCCCTGAACAGTAGGGTCTCCACATTGGAGATGGAGGGCCCACCGGTCCTGCCCTGGTGGATGCCACCCTGTGAGTTGTGTGTTGGTTTTATAAATGGCCAAATAACTCTATTACATGCGACACCTGGGATATTCCCCCCCCCCCCTTTGTAAGTCAGAAGGTTTTGCTGTTTGCTTTTCTGGTCTATGCAGATCATAACAGCCAGTGATGATGTAAGTTTAAGGGGGGACTTCTGGCAACCCATAGGCGGTGGCTGCATTTTGTCTTTCAAAGCAGCTCACGTTAAGTTTAGATTTTTGCTTTGTATGAGGTAAGTGATTAAAATCCTGCTTCACACACAGCTTCCACATATGTACACAGCACACACATTTACATGATGCATACACATCTGTCTGTTTTGTATGCATACGACATATGCATTTCAAAATGTATATGAATGTACATGTGCGTGTGTGCATCAGTGCAAGTGTCCCCGCAGCACCTGGAAGCCCCTGCAGACAGGGGGATGAGGAGCCGGCCACGAGCACAGTGTTTGCTGGACAAAACATGGCAGATTTGTGTTTCTCCTTGCTGTCCTTTCCTCCCGTGTCGTTCCTTAAATTTATCTTGTGTGCGTTTCAGTGATAGTTGTTAAATGGAACCATTCATATTTTTTAATCTTCCTTTAGTACTTATTGTCTTCAGTTACTCAGAAAGACATCGACTCCCCTTAGAATTTTCACTAGGAAGAAAGGTCCCCTCTTGCAGCAGTTTGTGGATGTGAGCCTGTGAGTGTGTAGCTTCCCCAGCTCCTTCCCCTTTTACTTATTTCTCTTCAGGAAGAAGAGCTAGATGCCAATTTATTTGTTCCTGTCTCCCTTGTATTTTTCTCAACTGTGATTTTTTTTTTTTAGTTGTCTAGGTTGGCTAATGTTTGTTTTGTCCTGTGTATTTTTAGGAGCTTGCCCTTTTCGTGCTTTTTAAAAAATAATCCAAAATATTAGTATATACCTTCACAGTTCTAACCCTTTTGTGTTTTCAGATCTTAGTATCCCCCTTTCTGAAAAGGTCACCCCCTTTCTTTGGCCTGTCTTTTTAGTCTCTCTTCTGTCTCCTATCTTCTCCTCAGGCCATGTTTGCCAGCTACGTCCCTGAAATCATAGAGTTAATAGGAAACCGCAAGAAATACGGGGGCTCCTATAGTGCGGTTAGTGGAAGAAAGTAAGTATGCCCAGAGGTTTTGCTGCCTCCGCTGCGGTAGAATCCTCTCTGCATGCCATTTTTTTTTTGGCTCTTGTTTCTTTGTTTCATGCATGTAGGCAATGTTTGCCCGCTACGTGCCCGAAATTGCTGCTCTCATCCTGAATCGGAATAAATTCGGCGGGACTTTTAACAAACATGGAGGCAGAAAGTAAGTCAGTTGCATCAGAAAAGATGTGGTTGAGTGACTTCTGAGAGTCCCCACGGCGGTGGCACCTGAATCCTGCCCCTCTTCTAACCCCCTGGGTGCTTCTGTGAGGGAAGGGCCACCTTCTGTTGGGGTGTGACATCAGAGGTTACCCAGGTTGTCACACTGGGACTGACCACCTAGCTCCATTCTCATTCACAACCTTCTTCCCTACACTTCTTTCCAAGAGACATGGATTTATCCTGGAAGGGGTCCACCTGTAACTGGGCCATATTTTCTGTCCTGATCCCTAACAAGTGAACCAAGATCATTCATTCTTTACACCAACTGGCTTGGTGGTTACACTCTGGTCCCTCACACTAAGATAATGCCATCCTATGGGGTTTTTTGTGCAGCAATAACACAAAATCATACTCCAGCAAGGAACTCTTAGGGAGGACAAGATCAAGGTCACCTTGCCTACTGTAAGGTGTGTGGCCACCAGGGAACCAGTTCTCTTTAGCCAGAGGCACAGGGCTCATCCTCAGAGGGGTCCGTTACTTGGCTGAAATTTCTTTTGGGCAAAAAATACTATGTTTACGGCATGTCAGGGCACTGTGTGCTATGGCTGATGAGTCTTTTGTTTGGCTTCCCAGGCACAAATGCTTTCCACATGGGGTCTCTTTCAATTTGTGCTCAGACCCCTTTATCAGTGTCAACATCAGTATGTGGGTCCATCACCAACCAGAGGCTTTACTCCTGAGCACAGGGCAGGACCTCGCCACCCTGTCCCCTGCTGGCCACTGTCTCCCTCGTAGAATGTCGGGCTGGCAGCAACCTTTCTTAACTACTTAAAAGAATTTTTTTTTCCTTGGGCACACAGCTTTGTTTCTGAGGTTTTGTTTTTGAGTTTTTGTTTTTATTTGAACTTCTCTAGAGTAAGATGCATACCTCTTTATTGTGCAGCTCAGGAAACCTGTACCTCTGTACACACCCAGACCTAGATGCAGCATATTTTCCTTGTTCTTGCCTCTTCCCTGTTGTAGAAACTCCTGCATTGGAACGAGTTTTGTTTTTTGCTTTTTTTCATTCCTTTTCAGGTCAACTTTGAAAAAGCCTGTTTTGTTTTTTTAAGAGGAAATAGCCCCCTTGGCACGGCACCCCCTCCCTCATCGCTCCCCATTGCCCGCCTGCCACATTCGGGAGTGAGTCCTTCTCCTGTGGTGACTCCGGCACATCCTGAGCTCAGGTGTCCGGTCCTCCATCCAGAAAAGGAGGAGGTGGGAAAAAGGGCTCATTTTCTTGAACGACCCACAGGACACCCGTTCCCTTCCAAAGGAACAAAGGACAGTGGGGGAGAGGAAGCCAGTTGGCGTCTTTTCCGTGGAGGCAGCACATTGCTGCTCCTCCCCTCTAATGGAGCCCTCCCCTTCCTATTACTGTAACTGCCCTGGAAGAGATGAGAACCAAGCTGTTCTGGTTTCTCGGCCACTGGTTGGATCCAAAAGGCCAAATAAGTTTAAAGATTCCTATTGGTCATTTGTTCCATGCCAAGAGGAAAACAGCTTTTTTTTTTTTTTTCATTTTGCCTTGAAGGTGTGCACAGGTTGCCATAAAGCAGAAGGCATTCTGAGGCCCGGGGCTCTCTGCAGCCTCCCCACCCACTGTCCCAGCCAGCTTTTCCAATCACTGCCCCCAAAGGAGTCAATGAAATCAATTGCCCCAAAGTCTTTGTTGAAATTATTTCTGGACTCTCACTCCAGGTAAATTCCCCAGCTATCCCCAATAAAGCTTCCCAAGTCCAATGTGGGTGGGCTTGGCAGGCAGCTTTGGTTGATGAGTGACCCAGACCAGGCCCTCAGACCAGTGCTCACTCACCGGCCTGGTCTGACGGGTCATTTGTTGCGGTGGCATTTCCACTCAGAGCCCCGCATGGTGACGACTTTGGATCACAGACTCGCGCAGCTTTTGTTCTGCCTCCATCGCCGTAATGTTTTATCACTGCTGTTAGCCTGTTTCCCCGCCTTTTTTCTTATTCCCTTTATGAAAATGCACACTGCTTTTAATGTTCTCTTTGGGTCTCCAATGTTTCCCGACCCCACGGACAAAGAGCAGGTCTGTCATCAACACTGGGACTATTCACTTTACTTTGCGCATTGTTTCCTGGTTCAAAAGCTAATTACTAAGTAGTTTAAAGAAGCCCTTTGGTCACTTAGATCTTTCATCAGAAAATATAAGCTTGGGAAAGGAGCGGTAATAAAGGGCCATTAGCACCCTTTGTTTGATGTTGTTTTTCCAGTCAGTAGAACAAGATTGATGAAATGTTATGTTTGGCCAAAATTTGAGTTTTCATTTGGAATTCAGCGTTGAGAGAATGGGCTGTCAGAATCAATAAGTTTTCTTGCGCTGGGGATATGGGCATGTGGTAGTAATTAGCAATATAAGGTCTTTAGTTGAGCAACCAAGCATGGGTTCTGGCAGCAAACATAATGAGAAACTACAGTTGTTCTGTTTCTAACGTCAGAAAGTTTCCAGATAAAATTAAATGCATTTGCAAGGGGAAAGCAGCTAAACTTTGTTGAAAGACAGAGTTCAGACTCTTAAAATAGTGTGCTTCACCCCATGTTTTTGTGTGTGCATAAATATACGTGCTGTATTCATGGACACACTTAACACATATGCTGCTTCCTGGGAGTTAATCAAGTGAGTGCCTGGAAAGTAATTAAAACATATGCATAGCTAAGGGATTTGTTTATGTTTGCATATTCTACTCAGGAATAACCTCCCTAAAAATGCATTAACTTGTCAGAGAACTCAAGGTAACTCGCAACCCAAAGCTACGGAGATACACAACTTTGAAATCCAAAGATTATTTAGAGTAAAAGAAAATTAGGCAGAGGAGCTCAGGGATTTGTTTATGTAGCACCCGATTTTAGGATATTGGAGAACATGAAGATCTCGTTGGCACCTCATTTCCAGTACATGTTTGGCATAGTGTAAACACTTCACATAGCATCCCCAGAACGTCTTCACCACCAGCACCATGTCAAGGGCATACATGGCTTACTCCAACGTTCTCTTCAATATTCCACACCTGACCTCCCACAGGACATCAGAGCCAGCAGTGGGTGTGGGGCAGCGTGGGTCTGTGTGTCAGCTTTTCTTTAATTTATCTTGTTATGATATATTGGGCATCCTAAGATCAGGGACTTGTATATCAACAACCAAGGGTTCCAGGAGTGGCCAGGGAAGGAAGTCTTTCCAAGTTGGAGATCTTGGGGACAATTAACCCCTTGGGCTGAGTCCCCAAATTTTATTCAGAAGAGTAGACTGCCTACAGCCCAGCCTTCCTCCTGAGGCCACTGCCTCCTCTGTTTTGCTTTGATGTAATGTCAAAGCTGCTCAGAGGTGGGGGAGCACAGGGGTGAGGCTCCCATGGCCTTTGGGACCCCAGCTTGCTCCCCTTCCTCCCACAGCTCCTGCCATTTCCCCCAGAGGTTTCCTCTCTGTGTGTGACTCAGCCCACTTCTGGTTAATTTATGAGAACTGACAGATCATGGTCCGAGGTCACATGGCCAAGGGCCATGGAAAATAATCGGCCACAGAGAAGAATCCATCTGCTCAAACCCGCTTATTAGAGGAGACCTTCTATTTCCCATGCTGGGCTTCTGGGGCCAAAACTGGGGCAGTCCTAGGCCAGGTGTTTGGGACAGAGGAGAATGGGATGGGTTTGGATTATTCTACTGATTCCGGTAGCCAACTACTGAGAAGGCACTCGGAAAGAGGAATGAATAACAGAGGACAAGGGGTAGGCAAAAGGGAATAGGACAGTGAATGTAATTCACTTGGAGGAAATGTCCCAGCTGGATGAGAAAGCTAAGTCACCCTTCTGGTTGGGGGAATAGTTGTTACAGACTAACCAGTTCTGACTCCAATTCATGAAGGCTGCCTATGAAACTTAAATGCTAATGGCTTTTCTTAGAATGTTTGCTTATATACTTGTGGAAGTGAGAATGTGAATCAATACAGCACAAAGCCCTAGAACAGTCTTCTATGACAATAATAATAACTACAGACACTTGCACCTTTCTTTAGTTTCACAGCAACCTGTGAGGAAGGTATTATTATCATCTCCATTTGCAATGGGTGAGGAAACTGAGGAACAGAGAGGTTAAGTGACTCGCCTGACGTCACCCAGCTAGTGGGGGGGGTAGACCTGGCATTTGACTGGGGCAGTGTGTTCCATTGGGACACGTTAATTCTCCAGATCATCTCTTGAGACCCTGGTCTGCTCTCAGTGATCTTGTCATTGTCTATTTTTTCCACCTCTGTCCTTAAGTGAGGCCAGGACACTGCATGTGATGGAGAGAAAGAAATGCATGAGTATTACTTGGGGTCTGTCGCCTCTTTCTGATCATTTATTACCCCTAAGGGTCCTGGCCCCAGAGTCTAGGACAAAAAGTTGGAGAGGGGATGAAACAATTTTTAGTTTTGGATTTTGCTCATTTTGTTGGACAAGAAATGTATTTACCTCTTGAACACTTCTAACAATGAGGGCCTTTCAAGGATGGACAGACAGATCATTGATCAAATTGAGATCAGTGTGTTATTTGTGGATTTCAACACTTTCAGCCCCTTCGCTGGCTCCATCCTTCCTGGGGAGTTCATTTTCTAGGTTACAGCCATGGTGGACTGTAGTGACCTGCCAGATTTGGGTGCCCTCCTGGGGCAGGCCTACCTGCATTTTGTCTTAAGGAGAGCCTTCTCTGCCCTGGTGGACATATCTACCTGTTCCCTTCAATTCCTTGGTGGTTCTGCAGCACAGCTTACAGCA